GGGAGCAGGCCTAAGCCAGCAGGTGGTCATCCCCCGAGGGGTCCCAGACTGCGAGAGGGCACAGGCCGGGCTGAGGGACCCCCCCCACCCCAAGTGCACAAATTTTTGTGCACCGGGCCTCTAGTATATAGATAATGAACTCACATTATCTATATATATAATCCCATTTACCATTGCAACAAAAAAAATTAAGATACCTAGGAATAAACTTAACTAAGGAGGTAAGAGAACTGTACTCAGAAAACTACAGGAATTTGAAAAAAGAGATAGGGGAAGACATAAACAAATGGAATAATATAGCATGTTCATGGATTGGTAGAATCAATAATAATTAAAATGTCCATACTACCCAAAGCAATCTATAGATTCAATGCAATCCCTATTAAATACCAACAGCATATTTCACAGACCTTGAACAAAGTCTCCAAAAATTCATACGGAATAAAAAAAGACCTTGAATAGCCATGGCAATCCTGAGAAAGAAGAACAAAGTTGGAGGGATCACAGTACCAGATATCAAGCTATATTACAAATCCACTGTTCTCAAAACTGCGTGGTACTGGCACAAGAACAGACATGTAGACCAATGGAACAGAACAGAGAACCCAGAAATCGACCCAAGCCATTATGCTCAATTAATATTTGACAAAGGAGGCAAAAGCATACAATGGAGTCAAGGCAGTCTCTTCAATAAATGGTGTTGGGAAAATGGAACAGATAATGAAACCAGACCCCCAACTTACACCATACACAAAAATAAACTCAAAATGGATAACGGATTTAAACGTAAGACGGGAAACCATAAAAATCTTAGAAGAATCCATAGGCATCAAAATATCAGACATATGCCATAGCAATATCTTTACCGATACAGCTCCTAGGACAATAGAAACTAAAAAGAATATAAACAAATGGGACTACATCAAAATAAAAAGCTTCTGCAAAGCAAAAGAAACCATCAACAAAACAACAAGAAAGCCCACTGTATGGGAGAACATATTTGCGAATGTTATATCCAATAAGGGTCTAATCTCAAAAATTTATAGGGAACTCATACATCTTAACAAAAGGAAGATAAACAATCCAATCAAAAAATGGGCAAAGGACCTATATAGACACTTTTCAAAAGAGGACATTCAGAAAGCCAAGAGACATATGAAAACATGCTCAAAGTCACTAATCATCCGAGAGATGCAAATCAAAACAACAATGAGGTACCATCTCACACCTGTCAGAATGGCTATCATCAACAAATCAACAAACGACAAGTGCTGGAGAGGATGTGGAGAAAAAGGAACACTTGTGCACTGCTGGTGGGAATGCAGACTGGTGCAGCCACTATGGAAGACAGTATGGAGTTTCCTCAAAAAACAAAACATGGAACTCCCATTTGACCCTGTGATCCCACTTCTAGGAATATATCCCAAGAAACCAAAAACACCAATCAGAAAGGATATATGCACCCATATGTTCATAGCAGCACAATTCACCATAGCTAAGATCTGGTGGATTAAAAAACTGTGGTACATCTACACAATGGAATACTATGCTGCTGTAAAAAAGAAAGAGCTCTTACCATTCACAACAGCAAGGATGGACCTGGAGAGCATTATGCTAAGGGATATAAGCCAGTGGGAGAAAGATAAATATCACATGATCTCACTCATTTGTGGAATATAATGAACAAAAATAGATCCAGAGACAGAGAAGCATCCAACAGATCAAACCTCAGAGGGAAGGCAGGGGAGAGTTGGGGGAGGGGGGATGTAAGAGATTAACCAAAGAGATTTGTATGCATGCATATAAGCATAAGCAATGGACACAGACACTAGGGGAGTGAGGGCATGTGCTGGGGGATGGGAGTGCTGGGGAGAGGCCAAGGGCGGGAGGAAGGAGACATGTAATACTTTAAACAATAAAGCATTAAAGTGGGGGGGGGGGAAGAACAGACAAGCTATAGTTATTCAGATTTGGGTGGTTTGGCAAACCCTTTTTCAAATACAAAAGTAAACCTTTCACTTCAGGGAAACAACTGACAATATCTGTTGCTAATGATAAAATTCAAGCTTTCAAGCGTAAACAAATAGAAAGCTTGTTTGTACTACCTTGAGTTTAATAGCATCCCAACAGTTAAACTCTCTTTACAAAAATGAGATAGGTGGTGATATTAATGAATGTGTTTTTGATATTATGTAATAATATGCCATTTTATACTGTGTAATGAGATTGCCAATGTAAACATTTGGAAGAACTGCATAAATCACCAAAGTAACATTTTCCAAATGACCAATGCCTAACTTATAAAATCATACATGGGTAAAATATCCAACGGAAAAGCAAGACAGACAAATGGATTTTAAAGTAACAGAGCACAAAACAGTTAACCAGGAAAGGCAATTAAAATATTCCCTTACCACTGTATATCTGTGAGACACCTGATTTTTCATATACATCAGATAAAATAACAGCACAACAGTCTGGTTGCTGAAGCCAAAATGAGAGTCTAGCTATTTTCTTTTTCTTTTTAAAAAAAAGTATGTTTTTATTGATTTGAGAGAGAGAGAAGGGAGAGGGAGAGAGAAACACTGATGTGAGAGACACATAGATCAGCTGCCTCCCACATGAACCCTGATTGGGGATCAAGCCCGAAACCCAGGCATGTTCCCTGAAGGGGAATCAAATTGGAGACCCTTCTGTGCACAGGACGATGCCCAATCAACGAAGCCACACTGGCCACGGCAAGAGTCTAGCTATTTTCTGTTAAGCCAGATATTGGAGAAATTCGGGAAAATGTAAAATAATTCCACTATTCCTGCTAATGGGGGGTGGGGGTGGGAATATACCTGTTTTTAACTAAAGATATTATTATATTCAGAAGTAATGGGTTATTTTTAAATTAATTAATGTTTTAAGATTTCCTCAGCTTTAATTTCTGATACGTTAAATAGCACAGACATACATAAACAAAGCTCTTTTGAGGTAAGGGTATAAAGGCATCCTGAGACCAAAAAGATTTGATGATTGTTCCATAGCAATATTATACTGACCTTTCCACAGGGCAAGTTGGCAAATGACATTTTATACTACCTCTGAAGTACAAAGGGCAAAGATGTCTTCTAAGCACATAACAAGACTGTTAATTAAATTTTTTCCACACTGCATTAAGTAGATGTCACAAAGGAACCAATTCACCAGAAGTGAGGGGCAGTGGTAAAATGAGAAAAATGATCTGGATTCCAGCGCAGACCCTACTGGTCTCTCCAGACATTAGCCTTCCCATCTACAAAATGAGATAACAGCGCAGCCTATTTTCAGATTGCTTCCAATGGTCAATTCCAGGGTTCTAATCAGGGACCCTTAGATGGTGGCCCACCGCTTGCATCTGGCCTTCAGATGGATGGGCCCTCGTGGTGTTTTGATAGGTGCCCCCAAGAAAGTAATTGGCAGTAGCCGAGTGAGAAGCTTCCTTTCAGAAGGACTGATTTTCAGTCACAGCCCAATCCAGCCCACTAGGCTTGCCCTTGCAGATATCTGCATTTGCAGCATCTGAAATGAAGGGCCTCTAAAGCAAAGCACCTTCCAAACCTCAAACTGCACAATTCAGCTCCGGAGACAGAGTTTGGGTTCCTTTCTCACTCTGCCCCTTGCTGGCTGGCTGGACGGGGGCAAGTGATTTAACTTCTCTGAGCTTCGGTTACTTCATTTGCAAAATGGGATAACGACACTCAACGCAAAGGGCTATTACGAAGCTTCGCGAGGTGTTGCTTGACAGCACTAACAGAGTCCCTGGCGCTGAACATCATTATTAACATCGAGGCAAAGAAGAGAGCATTCCCAGGTCTCCGCCCACCCCTCCCCTACCAAGTCCCGTTTTCCAGTAGGTTGACTGCCCGCCCCATGAGGAGGTTGCCGCCACACCAACTCCCATATCCCACAGGTGCACATCCTAGGACACACAAGAGCCTGCTCAGACGTTGACTTCTTTCCCTACCCAAACCCCTTCACTGAGCCCCCGGCCAGTCCCGGGTTCCTACGCGACCACAGCTCGACAGAGGCAAACACTGACCACTCCCCCAGCCTCTCCTCCCTATCCCGAACCACTAAGGCTTCCCTTCCCTCAGACCCGAGACCACCTTGGGTCTGGCAGTGGTGGTCCAGGGGTCTGTAGCTTGGCATTCTGCCCCCCCCCCCGGGGGTGGGGGGGGGCGTGGGGGAAAGGAAGCCTGAGGAGAGATGGGAGAATAACTCCTCGACCTCCCGGAGGAGCCAACGAACACTCACCGTCCATCACTAGAGGCGGTGGTTCCGGGTGCTGAAACCGGAAGCGGTCTCGGCACTGTTTGCAGTTCCCCTGGTTACTGCGGGTTTGCGGGCCAATGGCGGCGGAGCTTCACTGGCTGAGCCCGCCCTCTAAAGGGATGACGTTACGTAGGCGCTCTGAAACTCCTCCTCCGATCGCGGCGTCCGACCCGCCTCCGGAGTGGCTCGCCGTCGTGCGCAGGCGCGCTGGA